AAATTGTGGCGGAATGCTACAAGTTCTTCAAATACGTATAGAATAATAGGTTTCTTTTTTGTGAGTGTAAAACACTTAAATACATTATTTCACTAACTTGTTTTTGTGCAAGTTGATAATGTAAATAGTGTTTCAACCATTAAACTGTTGTATCCCAGACAGTCTGAACCCTGGAATTAGGCAAAAAGACTGGATGTAGCAGATGTAGCGTGGTTGATCTATTGTTATACATTCTTCTTTACTTTCATTCTTAAGTTCTTAAAATGTATGGCATTAGAAAAGTAGTAGTTATATGACAGTATATTTGTTATTTTGTAAGGAAATGTGTAGGTTAAAAAAAACCATAGTATGAAAGTTGTCCCAAGATGAGTAATGTATACAACTGTGGAAAATAGAAAGGTAGTTATAGCAGTTATTTTTATTATGTGTTAAGTGCTTAGAAGTTTAGGTGGTTTTGGAAACTGATGTTTATTGATAGTTCTTTTTTATAAATTAAGTATTAATTGAAGAACAAATTCTTATGAAGTTTTTGTATCGTGTAGGATCGAGATACTTTTTCAAGTGATAGTGGAACAGTTCATGATTTCACTCCAGACAACGAACTCACAAACTATCCTACTCCTCCCTTCCATACGTATAAACATTTCTACTATCATCCAACAACTGGCTCACCTTTAGGATTGTCTAGAGGGATTGGAGCAGCACAAGAACAGTTCAGTATGGCTCCTATTGATCATCAGCAAACCAGGCGTTTCAAGGAAATGTCTCGAAGATCAAGTAGCAAGAAGTTGTCAGCCACAGACTCCAGCAGCAGTTGTATTGATAGTGGTGTTAGTGTGGCCTGTGATCCAATTCCATCTACCCTACCTTCTAGTGAAAAGTAAATATTAGATTTTACCTTTCCTTACAGTTGGTTTTATTTTAAGTGAATTTTTAGATTATTTTAGAACTACCTAGGTATCAAATGGGACTTAAAAGTACAGCTTAATTGGTTAGCAAATCTAAAAGCTTTAACATAAGTTAAAGCTTGAAAATATAATAAATTATTATAAGCTAAGATCTGTTTGGTATGCTGTTAAATATTTATATATATATATATATCTAGTAAATTGTTAATGAAAATTAACAGGAAATAACAATTATGCAAATAAAAACATTTGCATACCTGATTTGACTGATCATCTATGTGTTTTTGTTAATTTTCAAGTAAATTTATGTAGCCAGTCATAAGGGGTCTTGGTATGAATATTTTAAAATCTAAACCTAGATACTAACTTTGAATGATCCTTTACACATCTATTTCAGTTTTATGTAAATATGTGGATCTAGTCATGAAAGTCTCACAAACCCTTTTCACCCTCATACAGGGGCTCAAATTTGTTGAATAGCTTTTCAAAAATTAATACAAATTTTCAAATAACTTGGCTGAGTCAAACCTGAGAGCCTACAAAAACCCTTTACCTTCATGACTATTCTATTCATTTGAGGTCAAGGATTTTTCAGAATTTCAATTATTTTCTCAAATTTTGGAGAGGAATTAAAAGGTTGAGTTGTGATAGGTACAATTCAGAATTGCTATATGATGAGCTCTTGCGTGACATATAAATTGATTTTTATTGATAGTAAATTTTTGCAGTAAGAAATTTAATTTTTACATGTACTCTGGTGTTTATAAGCTTATCATAATGTTTTGATCTAAAGAATCATAAGCTAATAGTTTTTGTAGCATTGGTATCTGGTTCTAATGAAATTCATGACATTTGTGGAATGAGTATACAGAGTTAATTTTGTAAATTATGGATATCAGAAGTCAAGAAAAATATTAGATTTACTTCTAGTAACATACTTGTGGTTATCAGAATGATAAAAAGTTGGAAAATTCTTTCTACATGGTAATTAATGTATGTGCTTTAATAAGGGTGTTTCATTGGATGATGGACAATGAGAAAGAATCTTCAACAAGACATAAAAAATCAGGCCGATCATCTTTATCTTCAACATCACCAGTACTAGGTCGGCAAGGGTAAGAGCACTTAAGAATACAATTGTATTAAATAACAGTTAATTACATTATTTATCTGGCTTTTTGTTGTTTTTCTTTTAGTGAAAAAAAGGAAGGTTTAAAAAATTAATCTGTATGAGATAAAATTACTAGTTCAAAGTTATCTGTTTAATAACACTATTGTTAGGTTCTTTACTGATGTCATTATCTATGAAATATAACCAACTTACTCCATGAGGAAGAATCTGGCTTGTAGTCGTTGATCAAAAACATTCTTTTAAGCCTCATTGTTTGATTTGAAATTGCCAAATCTGGGTAGTTTGTCAGAAATTTTAAAATTTTATACATTTTATTTTTGAAGTGTAGAAATGTTTGTTTTGGAGGCATTCTTATATGCTAAAAGTTAAATGTTAATTTGAAAAAAAAAGTTTTAACAACTGGAGCATGCAGTGGTTATGAAGCTGCTTCATAAGCTGAATCTTATAAGATAGTATTGAAAAAATAACAATGTTTTGTATAAAGGAACATTAACTCATTTCTTAAGCTACAAAATATGTTATTTATCCTGTTATATATTATGATGTTATAGTTTGTTCTGAAACTTTTTTCAGTCACTCCAAGAAGCCACTGGCCTATAATACTTCACGTTCAGGCTTCCTGGAGCGAGGAGGTTCCATTCCCTGGCCTCTTCCTCTTCCATTACAAAGCAATGGAACTTATTCAAAATCTCATCTCCATACTACAACTCATCCATGTCACTGGAGTTTACAACCTACCCAGCCAATTGCTCTGGATCTATCTATGCCAATCCTCCCTCAACCTGACACAGCCACACAGCTTCTGGAAGCTAAACGACGGCTAGAAGATGAGGCACGTTTAAAATCTAGTAAAACAAAGTGAGTCTCTAATTTTATGATGAATAAGATTTAATTTTACTGAGAAATTACATGAAAAAAATCATTTGATTGTATTTTTCATTATTAGTGTTTTACAAGTGCACATAGTCTTACTATTAATTTATTCTAATAAAAATCAATACCATAAAAGACAGTTAATTTAATGTTTTACATTTTAAATTAAATTCAGGATTGTTATGGTGTGAACATCTTTTATAAAGTGGCAAATCATGATTATAATTAAATATTATCCTTGTCATAAAATGTGTGTATTAAACCTGTTGTATTTTGTAACACTACATTCAGTCCCTTAGGAATTTTCAAGAAGAAGAGTGTACAATAATATTTAAACTGCACTATATCTGCCATATCCATTGTCAATGACATATTTTGCTCAATACAGAGCTCATCTGGCTATATAGAACACTAAAAGCACAGTAGTGGTCATAACACTATTTATATAAGCCATTTGTTAAATAAACAACTATTATAATGTGAATGCCTTTTCTAAGTTGGTGAAGGAAAATAATACTTATACTTTCATAATACCTCAGTATTAAAATGAGCTTTGTATTGACCAAAACACATCTGCAATGGATATGGCAGACAAGTTGTGGTTAAAATACTTGTAAATAAAATGGGAATGAATAAAGAATGTAGAGTTAAAATATAATAGGTCTAATACTCGTGTCTTATGACAAGTCTAATTATAATCATGCTTTGCCAGCTTAGAAAAGGATTTCATGCCATAATGTTGAGCTCAAATGACTTGTATCAGTAGTGTTTGTGTCCCAGCTGACCTGATGAGCACTGAATTGAGTGAAACCTGTCAATCAGCAATGGACATAGTGTGGTTGAAGTACTGCTATACACTTTTTTTTCTTGAAAAACCCTATGGGAGTGAAAAGAAAATGTAGTGTTACAATATATATTAGGCCTAATACTAATGCCTTATGACTAGTATAATTAATTCAAATTTAATATTCCTCACCTGCAGATGTATTTTCTACTAAATGCATAAAATTAGCTAAAAAATTACAATCCATACTGGATAATTTTTTTGTTATTATTTATTTATTATTATTATTAAGGTAACCAAAGCTTCATATTATAAATATAACTTGTATAAGAAGTTTCAAGAGATTTCTGGAGTTTAATGTGATGTTTTCCAAACAGAACAAGCTCTTCAAAAGACAAACAATTTCACATGGAGTCAAGTAGGGGCAAGATTTCTACAAAGAACTTTGAATCCATAGAGGAATCCACTGCCCACAGGTTTGCTATAATATTTAAATCTTTTTCATGTGTAAACAGAGTTTTAACTCAATTTATGCAGGGTCAGTCAACTGGACTAACCATGCATTGGAGAATTTAGGTTTACTATAATTCTGAATTTACTAGGTGTATCTTCATAAAATTTTGTAAGATTTTAATAAACCCTCGTTTTACACAGAAAATCAATTTTTTGTTATTAAAGTATTTTTATTAAAAAAATTTATGAAATCAATCTGACTCTGACTAGTCATGAGTGCAAGGTGATTTTCGTGTTGTTAATAAAAATATTTTTCACATAACCTCTACAACCTCCTAATTTTCCAGTAAAACATTATACCCTAACACCAATTGTAATGAAATCATCTGTAGCAAAAGTTGAAGAATTTGAAATAAAATTGACTACAATTTTTTTGTTCTATAGTCATTGCAGATTGTAACATACAATTACAGTAATTTATCCTAACATTTTTAAGCCTTTAACCTTTTCACAAATGCTTTCATTTGATCTTATTGTTCTTTGAACATATTTCTAACTGCTAAAATAGCATAACAAAGTAAAAATCACATGGCAAGAGCATAGCTCAAGTTACGATAAAGTATCAAACTACATTAATGCAATGCAGCTTGTGTGTATACCTCACGGAGAATTTGTTCTTAATTATTTTCAAAAGTTTTCTTATCTGATTTAATAATTTTCTAATTTTTACATTTAAGTTACTTTTATAACAATAAATAAAAAATATTAAAAAGAAATTCAGCACTTACAAATGTGGGTCTTGTATATTTTTGCTAGTTTGTTGTTAGTGCTTTATAGAATTCTTATTTATTTCAACTATATATATATACTATAAATGGTAGTGATATTTATATCAAACTTGGAAGGTCAGGACTGTAAAGAATATCTAAAATGAGCAATTTGGAGTGAAGAAGTGGCACATAACACAGAGAAGTGAAAATTGAGAACTTTTTAAACAATGCTCTTAAAAATTAAGAAATATTGTGTAATGTTAAAATTTTAATTATAAACTTGTGCCAAGTTTATTGAAATACTTTGATAGTAACGTTTTTATAATTACATTTTTGAATGTAACTCTGTAAAAAGTCATGATATGCACACTATGACCCCCAATTGTACACATAAGGTTAACTAATAATTCAATAGTACACATGATACGCACACTATGACCCCCAATTGTACACATAAGGTTAACTAATAATTCAATAGTACACACACTAGGACGAAAATTTAAAATGACAAGATGACCCAAATGTGTCCCAAAAATCTCTTTATTTAAGATTAGTTTTCCATTGATTATGTGGACCTGTCTACAACTCTGGGCTCAAAAAATTGAAGAAAACTAGTGTAGCAAAAATAACATACAAATTTTATTGATATACATATACTTACAACCAATTTTGTATCAGAATACTGTCATATATATCATATTTCAATTGTTATTCAAGTAAACTATTAGTTTTTCTGAGTTAATAGTGCTTAAAGCAAGGAAAAAGCTAAATCCTAGAAATTCATACTTTAAAAGTTTTAACTTGCATTAATATTTTTCACTAATTTCACTTACTTACAGTCTGTTTGTATCTCATTTTTAGAGCTAAAAAACTCATTGAAAGTAAATGAAACTTGTTTTTTGACATCACATCCAAAAGGTTGACTTTCTGTAAACATAAAAAATTGTTTTGACACAATATGAAGGCTGTTTTATAGTATCCTAATTCTTTCATGTCACACTGCTTAGTGTGTTGGCTGTATTATTTACTTTATTTCTAATATAAAAAGAAAATTTGAGTCTTTCATCGTATATGATATTTTTTTGTGTGTCTATGTCTATAGTACAAATGTTTCTACATTAGTATTAATTCTTATAAAATGTTTTAGTATTATGTTTTAAAGAACTTCTTTTTTTGTCCATTGGTAAATGGTATTGAGTTCTTAATGAAAGTTTACTATATTATCCAAGTAATTTTCCATGAAGTAGAGATTTAGTAATAATGAAATTAATTGGGTTATAAGTACACTGGAATGAGGGGCAGCTGTCTGTTGTAGAAAAAATATAGAGGACGATGTTTCAAAAGTCTTCTGCCTTTCATCTTTTGAAATGTCATCCTCTATACTTGTGTTTTTTCTACGACAGACAGTTGCCACCCATTTAGGTGTACTCATAATGAATATTCTGCTTAAACAATCTATCAAAGAAACTATTTGAGTGTATACACACTTTTAAATAAAAAATAATTCAATAAAATGATCAAATGTGGAATGCCTTGTAGTCTAATGTGTAAAATTGTGAAATTATTTTAGTATTTTTTTTGTGCTACTATAAAAAGATAATTTAATAATAAGATCTGGTTATGGTGGACTCAATGTTTGTCCTGCTGTGAATTATAGAATAGACTGTTTATGGATTCAACCTGTGGGTTTTTAAAAATGAATGGTGACTACAACATTTTTGTTGCACATGTGTAAACAAATCTTATAGAGTATTTCATCATAGCACAAGAAAGTCAAGCAAGAAAACCTCATCAACAGCTTACATTCCTGGTTCACATCCTACATCCTCTGGAGACGTTACTGTTATTGGATACTGTTTTTCTGGTGAATCTGTGCCTTACAGAACAAAACTTCCAGGAAAGAATGTCACACTAAAACAATTCAAAGGTCTTCTTAGTAAAAAAGGAAATTATAGGTATGGTGTTTTACTTCATTTCTGACTGGGGGGGGGGGACAATTTGTAATTTAAAAATATAAATACATGCGGGAAGTTGGATTTTTAATTGTAAACATGTATACAGTAGAACTTCAACATTAAGGGCACCCTTCTGACTGTGTCCAAATGCCCTCTGTTGACTGTTCTGAATTTTAAGCCCCCCCCCCCTCCATTTTGATTCACCAACCAATAAATACTCTTCATTCGAAAATGCTTAAATTGTAGTTATTTTTAATAAAACATAGAAGAATAAAAACAAATACTTCAAAAAACAAAGATTTTAAGTAATTACAGTGTTATGACTAATAGTAAAGTTATTTAACAAAATTTTGAAAATAACTAAAAGATCATAATAAGCACACTTTAACTTGTTGCATGAAAGGGTTAACTGCCCGCTTTATCAAGTGCCTGTATAGAGAACGAAACTAAAGACACTGACTTTAATGTGGAATATCAAGTTGCCAATTATGCTGCAAGATTTATTTTGGTTAAAAATAGTAGAAAAAGAAAGAGACTGAAAAGAATCTGCTCTTAATATAAGTTTTTAGCAAATAAAATTTAAATAAATGATATATAGTCATCACAATGGTGATAGATGATAATTGAAATTTAATTACTCAGACAATATATAAACATGTGGAAACAGTTCCTCTGGAATGATGTGCTCATGCAAAAGTATATATTGTATGTTTGTAAATATGAAACCATACAGGACCAGTAAGTTCATTTCACTGTATGATCGGAAGAAGCCTTATTTGAAGAGCTTATCTCTTACTCATGTTTCAGAATTTTAGGGTTTTGTATAGGATTAGCTGAATTTTGACATAATTTTGAATTCAATTAATGATTTTGTTCTGTTCAGTAGAAAAGTTTTAAAAATGCTAGTTTGAAAAGTAATTGGCCAGCATTAAAAGAGTTTCTTATTAGAAAACTGTGTAAACACACATTGCATTGGGCTTATTAATTATATTAATGTTTTAGACTTTTTATAAGCTTCAATAAAATTTAAATTCAGAAAATTCTAAATGCAATAATTTTTTAATGTTTTCCTAATATAAAATATCTTCATACATGTTATGTTCCCTCATAAAAATGTTCCCTCAGAATTCTTACCAATGCTTTAAAATGTTGGTATTTTTTATGCTGGCTGTGATGAAATATTGAATGATTATTGAAAAATGTACTATTATGTTTTAAATTGTAATACAAAAATAATATAATTCTGTTGGAAAAGATGAAAAAGGAAATCATTTATGACTGGTATGTACATGTTTTGCCATTCAATATCATTGATCATTATTCAACATTTGTTAAAGGTCAAAACCTGTTTTGTTACAGATCTATAATTCTTGGTTACTGAAGTTGTGTACCCATGAAATATTTATGATCAAATAGGATAATTTATATTTTTTTTTCTTCTCAGGTACTTTTTCAAGAAAGAATGCAATGAATTTGGAACTGGGGTGATAAATGAAGAAATATCGGATGACAACGAAATTTTGCCTCTTTGGGAGGGGAAGATCTTTGCTACTATTGAATCAGTAGACTGATGTAGCATTTACTTTTGTATAAATGTTGAAAACATTCTGCTTGTTGTTGTTTTTTTTTTCAAGACTTTGACTTTCATGGATAATACCAAAAGAAATTTGTTCTTATGTAGAAAAAAACTTCTTACTGATGCTTCTACTGCTATGAAACTGTTTTTATTATTTCCAGTACTGTTGATGTTTTACAAAACTAGTATAAAGATATCATGCCCACTCTGCTGCACAAAATATTTGTTCTATTTCCTGTTACTCACATGAAGGGAATTAGATGTATTCATGCTGAAGAAATTACATACTTTCAAATTTTACTTTACCAAAGTCCTTATTGTGGAAACATTGACCATCTGTGTTGTATTCCTTTTAAGTTTTTGTGGTTGTAAGATAACATTCAAAAAATACATCAGCTATGATATATATTAATCTTTTTTAAATAGAAACTCATTATTGCAATGTTCCTAAAGATTTTTCCTTTATATAAATTGTTAGTTTCAATTTTCAGCAAATGATCAGTAAGAACATTTTGCTGTAACTGGGATTCTGTCATTTGGAATGTTTAGATGTTTTGTATGTATTTATTAAATTAGATATTAATTTTTGGGGTTGGTGTATTGAATTTCACTTGAGATCTACATGGTTTTGTACATTGCAGCTAACTCATCACTTGTGCCATAGCCTGTTGATCAATATTGTACAGTTTGAATGTAATATTGAACCTATATGTATTAACTTCTCTTTTTAGTTGTATTTAAATATTTCATTTAAAAGTTCATACAAATGGAGTACAAATATTATTATCAAGTTCAACAGTCTTGTTTACCTTACTTAAAAAAGTGTTAAAAGTTAAAAGATACATTTGGTATCTTCTTATTCTATTTTTTATTGAAATTTTGCTTCCATCATGTTTTATATGTAAAGCTGAAAGTATAGTTTCTGAGATTCTTTGAAAGATAAGGTGAATTTAGTTTCCATTAGCACAGTGCAGACAGTTTATTAACAGTTTAGTTCCATTCATCTGATATGAATGTTTAGGATGTTTCATACCATGCGATGAAAGTGCTGTATATTGTATTGTATAATACTTAAAATGCTCATCAACATTATAGGTTCTTAGCAATGGTGATTTCTTTTGTAATGAAAATCTAAAATGTGAAGATTAATATAATGTGTAACAAATGTCACATCAAAAGAAAATTTCTGTATGCAAAACAGAAACATGACATTCAGAAGCTTACAAGTTTCATTTGCATTATAGGGTTGGGCCATCCTTCAAATAGTTTTTCTTAAATTCTGTTTTTTTATAGTTTAAAATTATTATTATGTGTTCAGTTTCTTCAATTCTAAATAAAGCAATACTGATCACGAGTTTATAGTTAATGATAATTTATTGTTCTGGTATCATTACTAGAAATGAAATAAATATCTCATTCAATTGAATACTGTAGTGTCTGATAAAATCATATCTGGTGGGATATTGCTTTTATGATTAATCAGATAGTATGTCCATCAAAGAATTAACTAACAATATTATACAGGTGTGATACAACACTTGTGTTACGCATAATAGGCATTGTGTCCTTCAGACGACTGATGCATTTTCTCTAGTTTTAAACAGTGGGAGATCTGGTAGTCATTATGAAGTTAAACATCATGCCTAAATGCCAGTTGCCATAGTTGGTCACGGTAGTGACATTCACAATCCACACCACAGTCTCAGTGGTGATCAAGGGCCTAAAGCACTGTCTCACACTGCCACATTCCCTTAAAAGGCCTGCAATGGCTACTCATTCATGCAGAACTGTACATCCTTATTACGTTTCAAAAAACAAACAAGAAATAAGTATACTATAATGAAATGGTTAGCTCACATCTGCAGTGCATTTTTAATGTGCCACATCTACTATACGATCAGATATCTGGAGCTGGATATCCAATATTGGACCTAAACTAATATATTTCCCCATTCCTAGTGATTTCTAACTAAAGCAGAAATTGTGAATGGCATATAATTGAAATTTAAGGGCACCTTAAGATTACATTTGGTGTTTTCAGTTGTCTTTATTTTGATTAATTATTATCTTAAGCTATACAAAATAAAGTAGCACTGATCCAGAATTTACACTTCTGGGATTGTACCTTTTTATGCAAAGTTCAAAATAGTTATGTTGCTGTTGTTAAATTTAGTCTGTTTTTTTTCTTCATTTTAGTATCATATCAAAACATTCAGTTTTGTTGCTTATGATAGTGTAAACTTTTTTGGAGTATGTCTATGATGGAATTGTCAACCTATTGGATAAAGGGTGTAATTAATGCATAGCATTTATATCTTGGTTTATTTTATCTTGTGTTATTACACATACATGAAATGACTAAGCCTACATATAAAAAGTTTTCACGGGGATTTCTTCCATGTAAGATGGGAAAAACTGTTGTGAATGTATTTCATTTCTAAATTTACAAATACTTCATTTAATGAAGTACATTCTATTAATATTACATGGTGCCAAAAGCAAAGCTGATGTTAAGATTATTACTTTTTTAAGAAAATGGTATATATATATTTTTCTGGTTCTTAGGGTATGTCTTTTTCTTGAAAAAAGGTGCACTCATTAGTACAGGGTTATGTAAAAAGTGTCAGTTCTGTTGATAAAACTTTGTAATCAGTGTATCATTAATAGAAAAAATAATAATTCTGGAGGTATTTTCTTTTGAAGATTATCATTTTGTGTATTTTTTTTTCTTGCTAATTTGTAATAGTTAAACCTAACTGGTTTATAAATTGATAGTAATGCATAGGAAAAGTTTTATTGAAGTATTACTGAAAATCAGAATATTTTTAATTTATAGTTAATTTTGTCTTTGTCTGTAGTTTATGTATGGTATCAAATGAATTATTTATTGAACTCTTGCCAGACCAAATCAAGTTCAAAAAACATGCAAATTGTAAGGTGTTGCCAAGCGAGAGGTAATTTTTTGCTTGTAATTAGTGCTGCATTTTGTGGAACTTCTAGAGGCCTTAAATGCTACAATTTGTAATAATATATCATTAAGTCTTAAATGATATACTGTAAAATGGATTTGTGGCAGCTTGTATGTAAATAATATTTTTTTGCTACTACTAGATTTTATGATGTGAAATACATTTTTGCTTTTTCTAAAACTGTCTGTACATGTAGTTATGTGTACACATCCTTGCTGTAATATATATATGCAACTTGGTTTTCACCAAGATTTTGAGATTTGTCAGAGCTGCATTGGTGTTGTGCAGATTATATTTTTTAATAAAGAATATCATGTAATCATTTTTCTTGTAAATAAACCATTAATTTCTTGTTCCAGAATTTAAAAACCATACCCTGTTTGTTTCTACCAACATGCTGGTGTTTTGAAATATTTAGTTTGTGGATGCAGTAAATTACAAGTAATCTTAAAGAAGAGTTAACTTTTTATTTTATTGTTAACTACAAAAAGAGTAGGTTTTAGCAGTTTGTGTTGATAGTAAAATTTTCTCAAAACAACTTGGATGTTTTATTTACTTGATTTCATTAAAATAGTAAGGTATAAAATTCATGATGGGGGTGGAGGCTTTTGTATTAAAGTAGTCTGTTAGCATGCAGAGTTAACTTTAGTATTTTTCTCAGAGCTATGGATATTTAACTTAAAAATAGATAGCTGTAACCACTATAAATTTCTTGAAAAAAATTTTACTGCATACTTTATGCTGTTTTGGGAATGGTGTGTCATCAGTAAGACAATAATTAATTATCAGTTAAATAGAGATGTGCTTCATCCAGTGTGATGAAACGTGTTCCAAACTCATCTGCTACAAGAGTAGGACAATATGCTGCTGGTATATGTTTTTCTCTGCTATGCTCATTCCCTATACCACGGTTTTTTCCCAGTTGACCACATTTTGGAGTATTCCTAAGCAAGTATGTTTCCAGAATTATAAAACATTTTCAGTAATTTCTGTTTGAGGATTATTGTATGTTCCACAGTTTTTTTAACCTATCCGTGATATAACACTCCTGCATCCCCAACTATCTATGCTGGACTTGTGTGCAACAAGAATCAGTTTAAAAGGAGTTCTTTAACTGTAGAATCCATTTTATATATCTTTGTGTGGACGATCTGAATACTGCATAATGAAGAATGTTAAAGCAGCTTTCTTGGAAGTAGTCCACTTTTCAGTATTAATTACAATGCATATGTTTAATAATATCCAGCCTATTATAATTCCTTCTGAGCTTTCCAGCCAGTGAAAAGATACTTGTTCTACAGGAAAACAATTTAAGGCAATACAAATAGTACAGACAACATTTAACAAAGGTTATCTACATTAGCTACTCCTTCATGATGATGCAATAGCAAAAAAAAATAATAAATAAATCTCAAGGATGGTTATCTGGCTTGTCTGCTCCCCTCAAAGCCAGTCAACCAAACGGACCCACAAATGGCTTGTTAGTTCACTACTAAATCAGACAAGTATGAAATTTCGCAGTTTAAGTCAATATTCTTGAGCTCAAAGTTAAATTGAGGCAAAGTCCGTACATCCGAAAGCCCTGCCAATTAGTAAAGATAATCCTCTTTCCCCCATCAAGTCGCATTAAGGTGGAGATACTTAAAGATTAATCCTCAGTTACTGCATCCAAACAAGCGACTGGGAAGACGACAGTCACCACACGAATATTTCCCTACGGATTTGGTGCCAAAGTATTGTAATTCTTTGTAGATGGTGGTTCGTTATTTAAACTTAACCAGATTAAAACTAATGGGTTTAGATTTCCAACAATGAGATTGAAATAGTAGGGTTAACCTTTCTTTGTAACATCACACTGGTCTAACTGAGCTCAATGTGGGCGTTTCTTTTGCAGCAAAACATGTATGGCCTTGTACACATTTACTTTGGCGGCAACAAATGTCACATTTCAGTGGTTGGATGCTATTTGAATGTGGTGCACGAAGATTACGATAGATGTAGTTAATAGTTACAGAATATTCTCGCTAGTTTCAACATTTTTCTACTTGTACAGTACACTAGATGAAATTTTATCGCATGAAAACATCCATCAACTTAACTAATTTGAATGATTTTTTTAAAATGTTAATTGGTGCATATATGACATACGTATTTCCTACACACGGAACAACTAGAATGAACTAGATCCGACTTCGACGAAACCAATAAGCATTATTTCAGTTGTCTCACGGTGGGACAGCGGTAAGTTTATAGGATTTCAACGCCAAAATCTGGGGTTACACTCCCCGTGGTGAACACAGCACGTAGACCAATGTGGCTTTGCTCTAAAACAAAATGTATTTCGATTATGTCAAAGAACAAAAGCTATTGGTTTTATTATAGTTTTATGTCCATAGGTAATTTACAATTGTATGCTTTGGTGACAATAAATAAAATACTAACACGAGGAAAGTAATAGAATATCGATCTAACAATCAGTTTGTTTTTGCAACAAGACCGTTTCACTTAGTTTCCACTGGCCTAAAATTTCATTTTACGTCATTCAACCTTGTACAACTTATTATCTAAGAGGCAGAGCGAACCTTGCATTTAGCTTGTAGGGTTGAGGATCATATGGTTCGAGAGGATGGCAGTAGGCTGCACTCTGGTCAGTAGTTTAAAATTAAGGATCTCATAATATGGGCGCATAATTCGCATAACGGTCGAATTCAGGTTGAAAATACCTTATTCTCTAAAATCAAAAAAAGCTGTAAACTTTTCTACAACTAGTCGTACTCCTCGAATATACTGTAAATTCTTAACGTTCTACGTAGCACTCGAGTTGTAAAAAATAATAATAAGGGAAACTTCTGAAATCTACTTACAGGTGTATGTTTTCACAATCAAGCATTTGATACTCAAGATTTTCTTTATGGTGACAAGGGAATGACGTTCCCCTCCTTTCCACCTCAATTTGGGCACTTGTTCTAATCCATAAGCAGTCAATCAAGACGTTCAGTGATCATGTTTTATGAAACCAGATTCTCATACGTATCTAGAAACCATTAGCAGGTTTTCTAATCTAATATCCTTCTAGAAATAACATTGTAATAGCGAACTAATTATATTTATAGAGAAGCAATTGGGTCATAATACCTTTACATAAATTCAATTATGAAGAATAGTACGGTGTGATTAGATTTAACTCTAATATTCTTCTGTCACTTTGAATACTGAGTCCGTGCTTCAGGTTTTTGTTTTGATAATTGTGAGGAAGTTGTAGTTTGTCGAGATGATGCTAAGAATGTCGGCTATACTGTTTGTATGATAATGGAAGACAACGTGCATACGGGCAACTTCGCATGTGTTACCACTATTTCTAATATTTATCCTCTGCCTGTCTTCCATGTAAACTGTTTTAGTATGATCACCCCATGAATAGTTTTTATGGTTGTTAGATATGTACGACTGTTTTAATTTAAGTATAGCGCGAGTGTTAAATTTAGTTATTTGTAGAAGTGATAGTTTATGCAGGTTTGTTTACGTAAATATGCGAATCACATATTGTGTAGTTCAATTGTAAATTGGCGATTATTGTATTATTGCATGTTACTAGAAACCTTCTAATGTTTCTCGAGTATCGTTACATCAATATACCCCGTAGTGTGGGAAATTCTAAGCCTCAGTCGGCTATTTATAAATACCCATCCAAAATGTAGTTGAAATTAAGTTATATAGTTAGATTGATAGATAGATCTAGACTGCGTGATTGTGAGTTTAGCCATAAAGAATGTACAGTGACGATTTTTAAATTGAATTATCATAGAGTGTTTTGTAACAACAGAGTAGCGAAGAATAATATATCTTGTAAATTGTGTTCTAAAGTAATTGAACCAGCACGTTTGAATTTTGACGAAAAAGAGACAATTATTTCAACTCTGGATACAACTGTGGTAATAACAGTTATAGTGGTGATTTTAAAGTGAAATTTTCACAAATTGTTTTTTGTTTGTTTGAAGTTAAGCACAAAACTACACAATGGGCTATCTATGTTCTGCCCACCAGGTGTATCGAAACCCGGTTTCTAGCGTTGTTAGTCCGCAAACATACCGCCGTGCCACTGTGGGCATCACAAATTGTATTGTAACAACAGAGCATGGAAAAATACTTTGTCTTGTCAATTGTGTTCTAAAGTAAGTGAACAAAACTGTGAGGACTTTGACAAAAAGAGATAATTATTTAAAGCTCTGGATACAATTGTGATAACGAACATTTGTATATATATATATATATATATTTGACATGTTTTAATATATTATCTTAAAACAAGTGGACTGTGTGCTGTTTGTTTATTGTTGGAATTTATCACCAACATGTCACAAATACCTTCTGTAAAGAATCCTGCCCATCCATATATATATGAAAACCTGACAATGGAGAACCAGACAGGATTATACAGTGGTAAATAGTGGTAGAAGAAGACGTGAATGACAGCGAAAATATGCCTATATATGCACAGTTATTGTGGTAGCAAAAATATTGTAGAGGTCACAACCAGGGATGGATTGGTAATAAAGGACCATCCCGGCAATATCACACGCTGCATACTGGCTAAACAATTAAAATCAATTTCTAAGAATGCGTCAAATGCACGGGCCCACTGGGCAATTGCCCGTTATATTGGAGGGCCAATCTTGCCCTGGTCACAAAAATAATGTATAACCATGTCGACTGACTATGATAAATGGATAGAGAGAGAGAGAGGTGAGCAACTTGAGCTCAAAAATGGTGATTTACGAGAGTTTGTTAAACAACAGTAACACCTAGACAGAGAAGAGCGTCAACAGAAGAGAGGCAGAGAAAGACTGAAAAAAGAATGTAAGCAGGAAATCCAAACTCACTCAACAGAAAAAATGACTCAAGAATGACACTATTGTCAGAGCCAGCCCACCAGCACTGCCCAAGTTGATTAACAGAAAGACGGCATGGATGGTTTCATGGGTATCCACAGAAATTTTTTCGAGGGGGGACAAAGTAGTGTAAAATTGTGAAGTGAATTAAAAAAATCATATACATATGCTGAATGAATAAAGAAAGAATTATGTTTCTCATTTTTCAGAGGGGGGGGGCGCCCCTCTTGTCCCGTTGTGAACATCCATGGATGGTTTCCAGGAAAAGTATGAAAGATTCGCCCAAAGTCAGAATTGGGACAAAGAGGACTGGGCAGTCTGCCTCAGCCTTCTTCTCACAGGAAAAGGTTTACAAGTGTATGCTGGCGTGACATCAGAGGATAACATGGACTATGACAAGTTAAAAGGGGCCTTGTTGAAATGCTGTGAACTTACTGGTGTAAAATAAGGGAAGTATAATGATAGCTGAGCAACAACTTTATCAATAGAGGCAGCCATAAGATCTGGAAAAGAAAAAGAAGGGTCTCACCAAAGAGCTCCTCCTCCCCAGATGATAC